TCACACCATACTGAAGCAAGATCGTCTACTTTGGTATATGGTACATGAGTTGCTTTTTCAAATACCACTCTAGCATCTTCTATTTGCCTATTTTCCTCATAAAATTTGCCAAACGCAACCCACAATGTGTACAATTTACCAACTGCTAACTGTGGTTGTACTGTCTGAACTGCTTCTGTATATGTATTAATTATCTACAGAAAGACATATCAATTAACAATGGAATTCATTTTACAATATTCATTCATTTATGAAATTTCTGTTCCTTTTATCTTTTTACCTCATGCGGTTGCCCTTCATAAAGTTTTACTCTTTTATGCCATTCCGCTACATTGTGTGGATTTTGTCGTAACAACACAGAATTGAGTAACAATAATCTCCTTTCCATAAGATGTTCCAATCGCGCCAGTCTTAATTCTAACTTTATGTCATCTAATGCAAGAAGAGATTAGAACAATTGAAAAAATAATATTTGTTAGTTTAAATTGGCATAAATATATTAATATAAATATATTTTATTAAACATATATTAATATAAATATATTACCTTCTTCAGTAGGATTTCTTGCTGCTTCTTCTATAAGTTTTTTAAGACTAAGTTCTTCAAACTGTGCATAAGCGTCGAAAACTTGTGTAAAATCTCTGACAGTGGTAACTGTCTGTATAGCTTCTTCATAAATATCCCTCGCCTAAATAAGATTGACTATATCAATCTAATTTTTTAAAAATGCATTTTCTTTAAAAATATTTCCAAAAATTTAAACAAAAGTTATAAGGCAAAAATTATTAAGTTATTAAGAAGAACCTAAAGACGATCAGTTCTAGTGTAAGTAGAACTTACACATGATGATTTACGTATCATTGACATACATTACTACATATATCATACCCTTTCAAAGAGACCACTTCGTACATAATAATCTGCTAACGAATTCCATAAAGGTCCCAATTGATCTGTATAACGTCTTAAACCGCCTCTAATAATAGCATCTACATTCAAAGACTTTATCTTAGAAGGATTTTTTGATATTAAATCGCATAATTCATTCCATAGTTGATGATTAGATTTTCCATGCTTTGATACAAAATCGTCTTGGTTGACGATCTGTGCAAGTTTTATAGCAGCCTCATCGAGCCTTTCAATGGATATTAAATATTCTATATATTCTTCTGTATCTTCTGGTGCTAGCTATATATATAAATATGAGAAAAAATGTAATGAATGATAAACAAATAGTATGTATAAATATTATGTATGTTGTTATTATTATTATATACCTTTAAGTATCTTCTAAAGACTCTAACAGCAGTCTCATATACATTATGTCTCTTTAAGAAATGAATATATAATGGCCATATACGATGATGCTGCGTAATAGGAAGTGCTCTAAGAGACCGATCAAACACTTGACGTGTTCGTGTAATATAACATTCTTCAGTCATTAAGGTACAATAATCCATCCATATACGTGGCATTTTATGCATAAATACTAAAGCTCGTTCAAATGCATTATTAACATCTTCGTACAATGGATCTATTATACACCGACCTTTTAGTTGATTCACACGTTGTCGAAGATAATTATACCATAGCTTGTAACTGTATAAATACAATATATAATATTTGAATGTCGTTTTAGATCTGACACAATATACATATATAGGCTATGTTCCATTTAACGCTCACAACGCTTGTGAAATAATTTTATTCTTGTTGTTTATCAAATGTCAAATAAGGAAAAACGATACTCGTGAGCATTGCAAGCGTTAAGTGGATCGCAGCCATGAGTGGTTGGAAAGATATATTTAAAGAATTGTTTTACCTGCCCGGAAGTTCTTTTAATGCTCGTTCGTATACCACATTTAAATTCTTACTGCTTGTGTTTTTAAGATGATCAATATACCGTTGCCAATGTTTGACTGAATATGGATTTCGTAAAATTTCTTCTTCATATGGTAAATCCTCCTCATTCTGCTTAATTAAAATTATAATATTATATATATTATAGTATTCTTACATCTCATAAGTCATTAATATATGTATATTACGTATTAAATATGTGTATATGTATATATATGTGTGTGTGTGTGTGTGTGTGTGTGTATATACAGGCTGAATCAGAGTTGTTGAACCAGCTTTTTATCATATGAGAAAATTATCAACTGCATATTTTAGGTGTACAAATTAGTTTGGTTTGTTTTTTGTGTAAAAAATGCATTTATTTCAAAACAAAATGAATAAACTGATTAATTAAAGTATTGTCCATCGCTGGCTACTACTTTTTCCCATCTCTCATCAGGTAATTTTCGAATTCCATCTCAAAAAAATGACTCGTCTTTGGAGGCAATCATCTTTTGGAAAACGAACCGAACTAATTTGTACTCCTAATATTATGACTAACACATTATATATATATATATATATGTGTGTGTGTGTGTGTGTGTGTGTGTGTATGTGTGTGCGCGTGTGTGTGTGCGTGTGTACAGAATAAGGCATTTAAAACAAGTCTGAATAACTCGCTTGTTTTTAACAAAAGAAGGAAAAATGTTAAAAAAAAAGTGCTTGGTTTCGAAGGGGTACATAATGTGATGTCAATAATAGTTTTGCAGGTGGGGATGTAAAAAATAGGCAAAGGTCAAATCTGTTTTTTTATTTACATATTGTGATACACTTGAACAATTAATGGTATACCAACAAGTAGAGAAGATACAAAATTATTCAGAGTACCTTGAAACAATTTTCCAAAATTAATTATTTTCTATTATTGATTTTGCATAATCTTGAATGACCTTTAATTATAGGTCACTGTATTCGTCTTAAAATGCTCTATCACAGAATGTAAATAAAAAACATATTATTCCATTAAAAAAAAAAACATAAAGAAGGAAAAATGTTAAAAAAAAAGTGCTTGGTTTCGAAGGGGTACATAATGTGATGTCAATCTTGATTTGACCTTTGCCTATTCTTTACACCTCCACCTACAAAACAATTATTGACATCACTTTATATACCTCTTCGAAACCAAACAACTTTTGTTTGACATTTCATTCTATTGCTTTGTAATAAAAATAGGTGAGTTTTCAGATGACTTGTTTTAAATGCCACTCTGTATATACATATATATATATATACTGTATGTCACAATCAAAAAGTATTAATTTAATAAATATGTATACTCACTCTCTTGTCAGTGCATATACATTTATACTAATTTGATGAGTAAGTATATGTACAAATTTACAAGCAATAAAATTTAAACTTTTAGTTATACTTTTTTTTTACATTTCCGCGCGTTTTTGCATGAAATGAAAGAATTTGGAAGAAAAAACGTTGAACCGGTTCTACGAATCGAGATATTAATCATTACAGTTAACAACTATTCAGGTTAGAAAATCTAATATCGACGAAATGTAGTGATAAAGTTGATAACAGGTGCATCTAAAAGCATGACCGCTCATTAAGCGCTCAGTAAACTCTTGCACCTGTTTGGTTTATATTTTTAGATTTAATGGAATATGCCAATCAGATAAAAAAGTTCACTGAGCGATCGTGTTTCTGAATGCACCTAATTATCTTTGAGATTAACCTCATCTTCGATTTTAATAAAAATTAGTTTCATTTGACGCGTTTTTACATGAACTAAACAAATCTGGCAGAAAAAATTGTCACTCTACTCAGTAAATCATTACTTTAATCGTTAAAGTTAACAGATATTTAGGTTAGGAAATGTTACATCGATGACAAAGAGGATTACACAAATTCTTTATTATATTTAAACACAAACTTCCCGCTTCAAAAATATAAATTTTTTTTCTTAAAAACACAAATTATTTTATCTTATATATATATATAACTCTTTGTGTTTTTAAAGCAGATTTGGTTTGATTTCGTTTCTACATTTCGTCGATACGACAGATCTTCTAACCTAAATAGTCGTCAATTTTAATACTTAATATAGCTCGAGGGGCCAATGGTTTTTCCTTTTCGTGAAAAAAAATGCGTTGAATGAATCTAATTTCACCAAAACCAGATGTGAGTCCAAAACCGAAAATATTTTACCATAAAAAATTACCAGTAAGTATATAGATTTACTAAATTGTGTGCTATGACTGTGATATACATAACGCTTTCACAAATTATACAAAATACACTCACAAAGGCATAAACATTTCCTTCGTTATCTTTACGCTCCAACATTTCTAAAAATATTTTATTGTCGTTAACACAGCTGCTTCTTCTTCTTCTTCTAAATTTGAATGGCCCAGGTTCCGTTAATCGCAAGAAGACTAGAGGCACAGTAGTGACCATGAAGGAAGATATAAGGAGACTCCACTCGGTCTCGCCAGTCTACAAGACATGAACCCATTTTAGGTTTCGAGTTCCGTTTCCGATTCTCGACACTCGCAGCGCTCGTGAATTTAGTAGTGCTGCGCATAATGAGTGCGAGTAAGAGAAATGATCATTTCTCTTACTCGCACTCATCAGAATCGGAAGCTGAACTCGAAACCTAAAATGGGTCCACTTTTATTTTACGGAGTGGAGTCTCCTTATATCTTAAGCGGGGAGCACAGACTTTTACATAACGCATAAACCATATACATAAAGAATTTGATTGGTCCATTGACTCATGCATAAGAAAATGGACCAATGAAATTCCTTATGCACATGCTTTATGCGTTATGCAAAAGTATGTGCTCCCCGCTTTACTTCCTGGATACTTCCTGCATGAGGCGAGACGAAACAGAAACTATGAAGTTTGTAGAGCTACAATCAGCTACAACTTACAGCGCCACTAGAATGAGATAGCATGATTTTTTCTCTCTCGCACAATTTCGACGAATAATGGCGGACTTTACGTGTCTAGACTCTTATTAGAGGGTCACTACTTACACCATGCTCCAGCTTACGTTTTTCTTTGTGTCATAGGCTTTATTCGTCAATTTGGTTAGTGGGGGGGGGGGGGGGAGAGGGTAAAGTAAACATTTACTGATTATAAATGATGGAAAACTTCGCGGAAAACGTAGCTAGACTTTGTATAGAGAAATACAATTTCATAAAAGAAACTGGTAAACCTAATGCTCATGAATGGACTGTGTTGTCTGGTATTGTTTTAAAAAACGCTGACGGTTTAATGTCTCTGGTGGCACTTGCTACTGGAACGAAATGTTTAGGAGATTCGGAATTGACGAAAGGTTCTCAAGAAGAAAAAGGTTCTCGATTAAGCGATTCTCACGCAGAGGTTCTAACTAGGCGTGCGTTTATGCGTTACTTATATGAACAGATCGATTTAACTCTAAGTGGCTCTAGAAGTGAAATTTTTTCACAGAATGATAAAAATAAAATAGAATTAAATAGCAACATATCATTTCATTTTTTTTCAAGTCAAACACCATGTGGGGATTGTTCCATTTTCCCTAAACTAGAAATAAATGATCTGTCTCCATGTAAGATTAGATGTGGTAACAAAGACACTAATGGACATATAATCACAGAGTCATATTACAAAGATATACATAGAACAGGGGCAAAATGCGTGAAAGGAGAAAAAATACAAGATCCTCGTTTGCCTGGTGTAAATTATCACATTGTGGGTCCTTTGCGTACCAAACCAGGTAGAGGAGATCCCACAAGTAGTTTATCTTGTTCAGATAAGATAGCAAAGTAAGTTTGGAAACTATGACTACATTAAGCTGCAGAATGTAACAGTGTTGTAACATTTTATGATTGTCTGCTGAGATAGAGGATTATTCTTCTAAATATAAAAGTATAATCTAATCAGTGCGCAGTGCAAAGAAAATTTCCAATAGTTGCAAAATAAATGTTCTGTTGATTTCAGCCTATATCTATAGACATTGTATTATGTATGTAAACTGATATTTTTGTTTAGATGGCTTATTCTTGGTCTACAAGGATCACTCCTATCATTGTTAATACCATCAATAAAGCTGGAAAGTATCACAATTGGAGGTGACTCTCCGTTTTCTTTGGACGCCATGGAACGTGGATTATATAAGAGATTTAACAATAAGTTGTCTAGACTTAATATTTTTCAAGCAAAAACTGCCTTTATACATAAAAAAGGACAACAAAGATCATATCCTTGTCCAATAAGCATTATATGGTGTGCTGTAAGGAACAGGTATCAATATTTTTAATATGTATCACAATTTACGTTAACATAAATCGATTATTTTTATGTAATAAAATTAGATTTTATATACAGTGCATTAGAGATAGCAGTTGCAGGCAGAAAACAAGGGATAACAAAAAAGACAAAAGGCAATAATTTACTTATAACTAGACGAATGCTTTTGCAAAGCTTCCTACAAATTTTTGATAAATATCAAAATTACTATAATAAAATAAGACATCCAAAAAAGATTACATATTATGATTGGAAGCAATGGTCAACAATTTATCAAAATGAATGGAAACAATTTAAACATGAATCATTTTATAATTGGCCATGTAAATCAAAACATTTGCAAGATTTTGCATTATAAAATTGTATAGACACAATATATCTTTTTAAAGTCATATTTTTTGTTGTAAATAAAATTAGAAAATTTCATTACGCTGTTGATATATCAGAGGTAAAAAAGTGTGCATATATATATATATGTACATACATAAACAACTTATTTACAATATTACAGAGTTCGTTTACTTATATTAGTATAACCTATACCTAAACAAGTTAAACGGACTTGCGATATTTCATCTTCTCCTTTCTTGATTTGTTCTATCTTGAAGGTAACCCCAAAGAAGTCCCGTAAATCACGTAGAAATTGTATCCTGAAAGTAATTCATAAATGAAACATGTCTCCTTTTTTTTTTTTACATTATATGTGACATACACATACGCGTGCGCATGCACAAAGAAATTTTATACAGACTGTTTCAGACTTGACTAGCATCATTTGCTAACGGTAGATTCCTAAAGTTATTTCGAGATAAATATTCTAATATCATAATATCCAGGCTAAATATTTTTTTAATATAATAAATATCAATAATTAAAAATACTAGCAATTTTATCTTCGCCTATGTAATATTTACATTGATATTAACAAAGATGGTAACTATATTAGGCTTCTATTTTTAACACTTTGTTATATCACATCTGAATGCGCAAATTTTAGACGGTATAATTTACTAGCTTTAAATGATTATAATTAAAAAATTATTACATAAATTGAGTCTGAAACACCCTGTATAATACATAAAAAAAGAAATTATAACAATATTTACATTGCTGGAGTTAATGGTCCTACTATAACTTTACAAACATCCTTTTTGCCAAGAGCCATAAATGCTGCAGTCATACTTTGAAAAGTAGAATCTACACATCCATTCCTATGTGTGAATCAATAAAATTATAAGATAAAAAACACTTAACATAAGTGCTTATAAAGAAAATATGATCCTTTTACCTATAAATTTCATCTAAAAGTTTGACTGCAGCTTCTTTGCCAAGATCTTCAGGTACACATGGCAACGAACTTGTTGTCATTAATGGAGAGAATGCTTGTCCACTAAAAAATACTTCTTTAGTAGTTTCTGCTGTCAATGTGACTCCAAAACCTAATATATAACAAAATGTATAAAACAAATAACAAAAATTAATACAATACAATCATAAATTATAATTACATACTTGGATAAAATTTATACATATCTATATATATAATATACAATACAATATTACCAGGAGACTTTCCACTGGTTGATCTTTTACAATGGTCTGCATAAATATATACATCTGGTAAAAATTTGAGAAGGACACTTTTCGCCGATTCAACAATACGATTAGCAATTGCTGGAGAAACCCTTATGCTACATGCAGTACCTCTAATACGTTTCACCATTCCACTATCTTCCAACTAACAAAAAAAAAATAGAATATTACAGAATAATAGTGTGCATATACGTGTAAATATGTAAGTACCTGAATAGTTTTAAGGTTCCGATTAATAGGACATTTAAATTGTACTTCTCCACCTCCTAAAGGGGCTACCCCTCTTTTGCAAATATTTAATATAACTTCATTGTCACCTGCTAGAAATTTCTTCAATATAGGTATGCCAGCCGTCTGAATTCTGTCCACTGATAGATCTTGTAAAATAAATTAAGGTAATTATTTTGATTTAATTGATTTTTATAACAAGTACATTGTCAATATATTATCCAATACCTATAGTATTATTGGTTACCCCTCTGAGCTTCAAATCAATACGATTTTTACAAAATGGAGCAAGTATCATAATTGCTTCCAAATAATAACCAATACCCCTTTCCAAGTTACAATCATGTTCTAATTCACCTCCATGTAATAAACCAGGATTATAATATATACTAGTGCCAGTTTCATTTAATTCAATTTTTGTACCATTAGTTATTTTATCCAACAGACGGATAAAACTAATCTCATATTCTGTTACATATAAAAACAATTAAAATGATTATTTAAAAATGTATAACTATGGTATTTTTATTATTGAGTCTTAAATTGCTCGTTTTTACTCAATACTAACAAAAAAAATTAATGAAAATATTTTAAAATTCTATCTAATGTAAGAGTCTGTAAGAATAGGAGAGGTCTGATTTGGGACTGAGTTCCAAATTGGACCAGAAAATGCATTTTTCATTATAATTCGGTACACAACAGGTAAGAGATACATTAAAATGGTCTCAAGCAAAAATGAAGAAAATTAAGGGTGCGTTCCACTTAACGTTCGCAACGCTCGCGAGTATCATTTTGTCCTTGTAATCGAATATTAAATAAGGATGAGATGATAAACGCGATCGTTAAGTGGAACGCACCCTACATGATCCTTCAAACGGCACCATTCGTTTTATGATCAAACTTTATTTAAGCCATATAGAGAATAAAAACTGCAAACAAGTCTGATTTAGACCACTCTCCCTTATAGAAAAATCTGTGAAGTTTGATCTATTATATCTCAGGAACAGGGCAGTAAATCAAATTCAAATTTTACAGGCATATGTATTAATATCTAAATTACTTGAAACAAAAGTTTCAAGACATTTTTGAATAATATGATTTATATAGGGTATAACTATCTTAATTATATATAGATGGTTGCATAGAAACATTTAATTTATGTATTTAAATATTACTAACCTTTAAGACCAGGCTCATCATTTTTTGTCCTAATATTTGTAATTTTTACTGGCTTACCAGATAATGTGGACAGTAATAAGCGATATCTGAGATAATTACTGCCTTCATACACAAGTACTTTGTTTTTTATTTTAGCTGACATTTTGTGTGAAAAAAATGAATCTTTAACCACGTTACATTTAACCAGAGAGAAGCCTGAGAGCGAGAGCGACCATGCCCGGGGTAGATGCAACTTTATTTTGTTGACAGTCAGCTAATCAGGACACGGAACATCGGTTGCGCTTCTCTGATATCTAGGACTCTAGCCCGGGGTAGATGCAACTTTATTTTGAAGCGCCTCTATGTCCACAAAACGTGGACATTGAACTATGTAGCCAATGTCCACGATCGTGTCGGTAATGTCCACGATTTTTGGTTCGAATCTTCCCTATGTCCATGATTTTTTGGTTCGAATCTTCCCTATGTCCATAGGCCTGTTCTTTTTGCCTGCACTGTCTGAACTGGTACATACATACAGTGCAATAAGTTGAAATGAAACAAACAAACGTATATCTGTTTTACTTCAACTTATTGCACTCTGTGTACCAATTCGGTAAAAAGAACCAGGCCTTATGATTATCGGCCCGTTAGACAAACAAAGACAGATAATCGATCGATTGTCTGTCTTTGTTTGTCTAACGGGCCGATAATCATGGATAGACATAGGGAAGATTCACACGCATAATTTCGTATTCTCACAAGATGAAATTAACCGTAATGCCTAGTTCATACTGGATGCGATGGGCGATGAATGACGAGCGATATCCAATAAAAGCTTTTCTTTAGCTCACACGACGATGTAAAGCAGAGTTCTTATTGGTTATCGCTCATCGCGCCTAGTGTGAACTAGGCATAAAGGGTGAGTTTCTCACTTTAGTCATTTTCATCACCCAATCCGAAAATCATAATCTCTAGAGATCCTATATGGAGAGATGGGCTAATGTCCGGCATGATGTTGTGAAACCGGAAATCACATGATCATGGAAATGCGCGTCAATATATCAACGCCAATTTCGAAACATCTCGTAACACTACTTGTTTATTATAACTTTGTTAACTCAAAGTTGTAATGAATAATTATTAGAAAAAGTTTATTTTTCGTAAATATAGAATTGTGGATAAAACAGACAAAATAGACAAAAAACGTGCAAAACGTATTAAATTCGAATAAAAAAGTTGCTTTACATTTACTTACACACAGTGATACGAAATCTGAAGTGATATGAATATTTTATATTTAAACAATGACTTTACTACTTATTTATTTGGTGAAAACTTATCGCATAATAACACAGATTTCTAACCTCATTAATGTGAGTTAACAAGACTTGATAAATCATACGATCTCGAGTTTGTGCAGATTGTTGGCAAAAAGTCAATTGAATTGCCAGAATGAAAAAAATAAAAAAAAAAAACAATTTTAGGTTAATTTACATATAAAATGTATGTATGTATTTATAAATGAATTTTTATGTATATATTTATATATACATATATTTTTTTTTTCCAAAAGTTCTAGTGATACATTTTTGATGATTTTAAACTTACTTACTGTAAAAGAGACTCGTTTAAGTTAATTTTTATCTCTGACAATACTTCTTATAATAATAAGCAGACGACGCTTCTCTCACTCTCACATTCGCTTCTTTCACTCTCAGGGTGCAAACCAATAACGAGCATTCCGTGTTTCTAGAGAAACTCGTGATTGGTTCTGCTCTCGTTCCGCGCCGCTGCATGGGTTTGCACCCTCACATTCGGTTTCACAACATCATGGCAGAGGCAATCACGGATCAGTCGGCATTGGCCCATCTCTCCATATAGGATCTCTAGTAAGCCCGGATCTACAAGAGTATTAAGCCTTAAGCCATAAGGAATGGACGAATCATAGTCAATTATTCTCCTCGAATTCGACTGTAATTGGTTAATTTCTTACAGCTTAGGGCTTAGAGACCTAGAAAACAGAGATGCGTCATTGAAGGGTATGGCTTGATTGGCTGTCTAAATCACTTGGTCAGAGAGCCATTTTAATTCACTATTGCATCTAATAGATAGTTTTATAACGTATGTACATATATATAGAGAGAAAAATTTAGACAATACAGTGTCGAAGTGCAATAAAAAACTATTATTATGGTGTAAGTATTCTTATTTGTGTGAATATTTAATATTAGACCTAACCTAATCTAATCTTTCTACCTTTTGAATCAACTGTCATCAGCTTATTGGTCAAGAGCACTTATATTGAATTAAAATGGCGGTGGTTACCTAACCCAACCGACACAATGGCTGCGTTCAGCAGACTCAACAGTTTTGCAACCG